TCATACATACCACACTTACACCACACACACAGGCAAACCACACATATCCTAGAATCACGCCAATGTGCACCACACACGTACTGCACAATATACCACACACACTCACTAATCTTAACACCTACACACCAGTAATACAGCACACAAAAGCCAGCTGAGCCGGCCAGGCACCCCAAGAGTCTGGTTCTTGGTTTGCTCCTCTTTCTCCTTTCCCCCTTTGCTCGTTTTATTTCTTGAATACTACACAGGAGGGAAATCATATGGTATTACATATATATATCATTTTAAGAAAAATAATAGTGTTAAGGTTTAAAAAAAAAAAAAAAAAAGACCCCAAATGCCAAAATTTAATTCTGGGCAGTGGGAAGATGGATGGTTATTAATTTCTTCTTTGTGCTTCATTTTCCGTTTTTGGAAGGAACTAAATTGTAAAGAGTAGTCAAATGCACACCCACACGAAAGGCAGATCTGATCTTAGGGAGGAACGGCCTTTCTGAGCATGTAGGGAAGTCAGGAACTTGAAAATTGTAAAGTTTTAACTACACGAAAGCTGTACGTTTCTGGATGTGGACAACAACAACAGCCACACAAACTCACCATTAACCAAGTTGAGGGGTAAATGGGAAATTGGGGGAGAAGTTTATGCAACTGAAATGGAAACACCCAAGTCGATTGCCTGTTAACTCCATTCCTCTCCTTCCCGCTTTCCCTATACCTACAAGTGCTTCCCCCATTCTATCCCTTTCATTCTATCCATCTGTCCAACATTTATGGAGCATCTAATGTGTCCCAGTCAACTGTACTAGGTTCCGGGACCAAGTTGGGCAGAATACACAGTCCCTCCCTCCCTTCAAGACATGCTGTCTGCATTTCCTCCCTGTGGTTCTGGGTGTGGACTCTGTTATGTCCCCTGAAAGACACAGGAAGCACACCGTGACACATTTGGAGATGAGCCGGGATGCCCTAAGCGAACGTGACCGAGACCTCAGCCAGGCCTTCGCGATTGGCGCCTCAGATTCTGTTGGGTACCATGCTGGGGTCTGGACGCTGATCTCTGACCTACTGTCTTCCATGCAGACGCAGAACCAGATTGTCTACTTCATACGCCAAGCGCCGGTTCCCATCACTCCAGAGAACTTCGAGGCCACCGTGCAGTTTGGGACGGTGCGTGGTTCCTACATCCCGGCCCTGCTTCGGCTGCTCAGTGGCGTCTTTGCCCCTCAGATCTTTGCAAACGCAACCTGGCCTGAGAGTATTCGAAATCATTTTGCTTCTCATTTGCACAGATTCTTGGCCTGCCTGACAGGTGAGCAGAAAACCTCCCGTGCCTGGTTTCTGTCCGGTGCCCCACCGACGGGAGGGGCGAGCGAGGCGGGTGGGAGATTTCATCCCGAGTACCTGTGCGGCCCGGCACGGAGTCGGTGCCTGTGTGTGTTTGCTGAATGCGTGGGTCAGGGTGCAGAATTTGCCTCCCGGTACAGGTACGGTTTTCTGCCGTCGACTGTTGACCAGATCCGCTCAAACGTAGAGTTGGGTATTTCATGAGTACACGTGGGGTCAGGGGAAACGCGGGTGTTATGGGGCTCCTGGGGGGAGCGCATGCATCGTAGAAGAGAATGTTGAAGACGCGGTCCAGATCTTTGACCTTATTTTATGATAATCTCTTATTTTACCTCAACGAGGTTTCCCTCTTGCCTTCTGTCATTTTCCCTCTTGAGGTCAAAAAATTAGGAGTCGTAGTTTCTTTTGCCCGTTCTCCTGAAATCCCCCATACTTCCTGGGCCCCGGAATACCAACCACTGTTGGAACTGGGGTAGCATAAACTCAGTCCCGTCTGTGAACTTCCACGGTCCTTTCCTTTCCTTAGACACTCGCTACAAACTGGAGGGGCACACGGTTCTCTACATTCCCGCAGAGGCCATGAACATGGAGCCTGAGGTGGTAGTTAAGGACAAGGAGCTGGTGCAGCGGCTGGAGAGTGAGTGGCTGGCATTGCCAGTGTGTTGCGGGGCCGAGGGGACAGCGGAGGGGCAGCCCAGAGGCCGAGGAGGGAGCTGGGTTGGGAGGGCTGCGCGGGCGGCCGCGGGAAGGACACACGGGGGAGCAGTTTAAAGACGCGCGAGAGGTTTTGTGCTCTCCCCGGCAGCCTCCATGATCCACTGGACCCGGCAGATAAAGGAGGTGCTCAGTGCCCAGGAGTCTGTGGAGATAGGAGAAAATTTAGGTCCTTTGGAGGAGGTTGAGTTCTGGCGCAATCGGTGCATGGACCTGTCTGGCATCAGTAAACAGCTGGTGAAGGAGGGAGTGAAGCACATCGGGTCCATCCTGCACCTTGCCAAGTCGTCCTACTTGGCACCCTTCATGAAACTGGCCCAGCAGATCCAGGTTGGTGAGCGGGCCAGAGGATGGAGGCTTAAGGGGCGCCCGGGGCAGGGGCTCGGTCGGTGAAGCGTCCGACTTCGGCTCGGGCCATGATCTCGCCATTCGTGAGTTCGAGCCCCGCGTCGGGCTCTGTGCTGACGGCTCGGAGCCCGGAGCCTGCTTCGGGTTCTGTGTCTCCCTCTCTCTCCGCCCCGCCCCTGCTCACACTCTCGATCTCTCTCTCTCTCACTCTCTCAAAAATAA